CTTACGAGGAAAGGTTGAGGAAAGGTTAGAACAACGAAGGATGAGAGGTGGCTTGATAGAGGTGTACAAAATGATCAGAGGTATAGATAGAGTAGACAGCCAGAGACTTTTTCCTAGGGTGGAGGTAGCTTTTACGAGGGGACATAGTTTTAAAGTGAAAGGAGGTAGATATCAGGGAGACGTCAGAGGTAGGTTCTTTACTCAGAGAGTGGTAGGGCGTGGAATGCATTGCCGGAGACGGTAGTGGAGTCGGCCTCATTCGGGGCACTTAAGCAGCTATTAGATAGGCATACGGATGATAGCATAAGGTAGGGATGGAGATTAGATAGACCTTAGGTTTAGGGTAAAAGTTCGGCACAACATCGTGGGCCGAAGGGCCTGTACTGTGCTGTACTGTTCTATGTTCTATGTTCTAAATATCTTCCCTAGTCACAGCAGTAATATATTCCTTAATCAAAAACGCAACGTCCCTCCTCCTTTCTTGCCTTTCCTCATGTTGCTTTGCCTTCTTTTGCCAATTACGTTGAATCTGTGCCTTCTCATTATTAATCCCTTCATTTGTGGGAAAGGTTTCTCCCTATCTACTATCTGGACCAATAACTTTGAATACCTCCATAAAATTTCCTCCTAGTCTTCTTTTCTTTTACAGTTTTTCATTAGTGTTTTAAGAAGGATGATAAACATTTGAAGAGTGTCATCCATTGTTCCAGCCCATTCTGCACATATTCAGCATGTATTTACTATAGGGTCAGTGTCTGAATTTCTTTTTGTGCTTATGGCCTAAATTCAACAGAATTCATAAGGCAACACACTTTATTTAGAGCCTTCCCCACACAGGACCAGATCAATACATGGAAAGTAGAGGATTAAGTGAGTCAACATGCCTTTATTTTCCAACTTTTTGACAGTATAACCTGTTTCTTACTTGATTACAGCGCAACAGATTAAGGAAGCAACCCAGTGAGTGTAAAGTTTCAGCGATTATTTCAATCAAAAAGGCAGACATGAAATATTTGTCTCCTACAACTCAGCAAATGGTGGTACCACCCACAGACATGTGGTATTCAATTTTGCCTTCTGAAAGCACAAAACTCAAATCAATTCAACTTTTATGTTGATATCTATTACTTTATTCTAACCATTCTGGAGGCTTGAGTACATAGTCCACACTCAGACTTCAGTGCAGTACTGATAGGGTGCTCATTTGCAGAGGTATTGCCTTTCAGGCCAGACATGAAAACCAAGGCCCTGTTTGTTCTCTCTGCTGATGTTAAAATCACATGGTACTATATGAGGAGTGCCATAGAATTCACCTGAGTGTCCTGGTCATTAGTATCCTTCAACTAACACTATTAAAGCAGGTTAAATGGCTATTTTCTCATTGTTGTGTGAGGACCCTGCTGAACACAAGGAAGTGGCTGCATTGCCACATTACTATATTTAAAACATCCCTCAGTGGGCGTGATGTATTTTGAGGATGTGAACGGTAAATTGTGATTTTTATCAACTGTTTATATTTAGAGGTATCCTACACTTCATTCTGGTTGCATCTGTGGTATGGCAGTAAGCTTCGAAATGCTAGCAAACTCAATAAACGTCAGAAATTTACCACTTCCTCTTTCAAAATTTCTAAACCGATTATTTCAAAATATCTCTTTCCCCTTCACTCAACTACTGGAATATTAGATATAGCCACAGCTTTCACTATGACAACAGCACAACTTTCCTCTCCCTCATTGTACCTATTTATATCATAAATAAGATTTTGAGTTTTAGACATCACAGAAATATAAAATGAATTATGCAACATGATCCTAACTCACAAAAAAAATTTCCTCCTAGTCTTCTTTTCTTTTACAGTTTTTCATTATAGTGTTTTAAGAAGGATGATAAACATTTGAAGAGTGTCATCCATTGTTCCAGCCCATTCTGCACATATTCAGCCTTTTCTGATGAAGGGTCTAGGCCCGAAACGTCAGCCTCTCTGCTCCTATGATGCTGCTTGGCCTGCTGTGTTCATCCAGCCTTGCACCTTGTTGTCTTGTATTTACTATAGGGTCAGTGTCTGAATTTCTTTTTGTGCTTATAGCCTAAATTCAACAGAATTCATAAGGCAACACACTTTATTTAGAGCCTTCCCCACACAGGACCAGATCAATACATGAAAAGTAGAGGATTAAGTGAGTCAACATGCCTCAGTTGCCTTAAAGCTGTAGGCTTAGTCACAACCTGCTATTGTATTTCAGTTGTAAGTTCTTTTGGCTTATAATTGTTTTGAAATTGCTCATCAGCTTTTCTGAGTATTATGATTTGTTTTTTTTTTAAGCAACACACTCAGATATAATGGAATTTGAAGACTTCGGCATCAACAAATATTTGAGTGATCTTTTTAAATAATTCTATTCTAGTCCAATTACAGAGTTATATCAACCCCACCCAGACCTTTCAACATTTAGAAATGAATTGAAAATATTTATTGGTGGTTCTTGGATCATTTCTGTACATTTCCAATGAGCGCAATTGCAAAAAAACCTTATCATGGAATGAAGTCCCCGTATAAGGTTTACAACGAGTACAACGATCTCAATTGTCTATCTCTTACAACATTGCAAACATTGACAAAAAGGGCTTTTTTGAGGAACATTAATGTTTCATGTCTTGTGTCCAAAACTAGAGATAGGTTTCAAATCATTAATTGAAACTCTTCACTCAGAAATAAACAATGATAACCAATGAGTTAAAGAGTCATATTGGAAATTTTGTCATAGCTTCGTTGAGGGAATAGTAAATATGTAGCTTATTGTAAATAAGGAAGCTATGTCAACATAAAATTCCTTGATCTTATTTTTCTTACTTGTTTCCTCATATTAATTTTAATGTTTGATGCATTTCTTTAAATGGAATAGAAGTCGTGAGGTGATGAAAAATATTTTGTGTTAATAATTGATTCATGATCGGAAAAATACAAATTTTCTGAGCGTGTAATCACTGAGGTACACATGTTGTCATTAAGTGGAGTTGCAAGAAAACACTTCCAAGAAGTTGAAGGGCTTTAGGGACATCCTTGAAGAATCTCAGAAGAGGTCAACATACCTGCCGACTCTTGGAAGACCTTGGCTTGTGCCCAACCAGCATGCAGAAGGCTCATCTGAGAAGGCACCATTCATGTCAGGTGACTTTGTCAGGAATCTGCAGAGGCAACATTGAAGTGCACAAATCTCCAAACAAACTATCTACACAATCCTTAAAAGAAGCATTGCCCTACCTGTGGTAGAGTCACTTATTGGACCTATCGGCCATTACGGAACCCATCAAACTGGATGCAAACTATCTTTGATCTCAGGGGACTGTCTAAAGCAGAGATCACAACATGAAAGGACCACTACAAAGCAATAATGCAGAAGCACATCCCAGCAAATTCCAAGAAGGGCCGTTAAGTTGGTGTGGCAATTGTCAAGTAACTTGAGAAACAGTTTGGATCATCTGTCAGAACATTCAATGAGCTGCAATGTTGTCAATTGACTAGAAGAGAAAACTCTGAGGGTCATTAACAATGCCAAACTATATTATGAGGAAAGCCTGGGACTGAAAACAATAAATATTGCAGAGCACTCCCTAAATTAGCTGCAGTGTGCTAAAAAGTGTTGATACAGTAGGTCCCCCTGTGCCTTTGTAATTTCTGTGAGCCAGTCATTTGAGATAGGTGCCTGGGTCAGGAACTGCTGGAACTCCCAATGCCAGGAAGTTCTACGTCAATATCACTTTGTGACAAATTTGGCACTTCAGCATTTGTCAGGGAGAAAGCATAGATCGGTTTGGATTGCAGAAATTGTGAAGTTTGTTGTTAGTCCAAACTCATGCATAGTAAGCGATCAACTATGATTAACTATGAAAATAAATTAATGCAAAAACACATGGAGAAAAGAGATCTTAAAAAAACTAAAAGTGATACTACCAGTTTTTTATTTACTCATGAGATGCAAGAACTTCTGACAAAGCTAATATTTATTGTCAATCCATAATGACTCGTGGGAAAGTGGTAGCCTTGTTCAACTGCTGCAGTTCATGTACTATAGATGCATCCAAAGTATTGTTGGTTAAGGAGTCCCACAATGTTGGCCCAGAGCAGTGAAGGAGTAGTAATTTACTTCCAAGTCAAAACAATGTCTGACTTGGAGGGGAACTTTCAATATTGACATTCCTACTGTCCTGCTGCTCTTCCTCTTATAGCTGATTGATGTTGCGATCACTTGGAAGGTGGTGTCAAAGAGCCTGTGGCTTGGTGTCTTGCTTGTTGTAGAATGTGGTTGATACCTACATTACATTCAGTGAATAGAACCTTACAGAGGTATCAGGGGTCTTTCCAAATGGCCAGAGAGCCAGCAAGAAGGCACTCCTCACCTCATGTCCAATCTTTCAATCAGACACCACGTGCCTATGATTGAGGGGCTCCCAATCCCCCAGAAGACACAAGCTGACTGTACAGATTCAGCTGCCATACATCCAGTTGGCATATGGCCCAGCCACAGCCAGTTTATTCCTAGAGGCAGCAGCAAGGGGCCCTCAAGTGGTCATTCATTGGTCTTTTCCTGTCCAGGAAGGTAATCCTGGCAGAGATGGGAAGGTGACAGGGTTCCGGTATGCCGCTGTCCTGCTTCCAGGATTCCATACGATACTATCCTACTCCAAGCTCACCACTGTGTCACCGGTAGAAAGAATGAAGATTTAAGTAGGTGGTACAAAATCATCACATGGACAGAACCAAAGCTTTAGGTCCTGACTTAGTTGAACTCATTGAAAAGTATTTCATATGAATCGGTGTGTATGCACGATCAAATATTTTGTCTGCCTAGTAATGGGAGGAAGGGCAGAAGGAACTGTTGCACAGAAGAAGTCGCTTATCTTCATAATGTTAAAGGCTGTGACTGTATCATTCAAGAATGTGCTTTTGTGTGCTTTCCTCCTCCTTCACAGTTTATTTTTGCTCTTTCTGCCTTGGAGCCAAGACCTGAGAGAGTGTGAAACCATAGCTGAGGAAATAACAGACAGTAAGTATACTCTTGCAGTCACATTATATCTGTATTTGTGTAGCTTCAAGCACATTGCAGCAATATAGATGTAATTTGTAATCTATATTTCAGGGACTTAATTGATATTTTGTGGTGAAATGAATGTTTGTAAGATTTACATCTGGAGAGAGTGTGCTAAAATGGATGATGATTATTCTTCAGTTACTCCTAGGTTTTATTAATATTTGGTAACACTGGCAAGGCTGCATTTATTCACCTTCACTTATTATTCTGGGAAGTGCTAATCACTGAGACAGAAAACTAGCCAGTTTAATAAGGAGTACAAGTGAGCTAGAGTCTCACTCAATGCTGATGGAATAAATCAGAATCGAATAGTTTTTAAAATCAATTATTCTTTCATAGTATGTGGGCATCACTGGCAAGGCCAGCACTTATTGCCCAGCCCTAATTACCCTTGAACTCAGCAATGGGCTGGACCAAGTCAGAAAGCAATTAAGTGTCATTGCTCTGGGTCTGGAGTAACATGTAGGATAAGGATGGCAGATTTTCTTCCCTAAATTACATGAGTTAGATCAGCTAAGAATTTACAACAGTAACTCCGTGGTCAGCAATACTGAAACTAGCTTTTCTCAAGTCCAGATATATTAATTGAATTGATAGCTGACAATTAGTCACTGGAATTTGAACCCATGTCCTCACATCTTTAGCTTGAGCCTAACTGAATTATTAGTCAATTGACATTACTAATACACCACTTCCTCACCCCAAATAGAAGTCATGACAAGTATGCAAGTCAGTCTGAGGGTGGCCTAAACAGAAAGTCATTTCTTTCTTTCCTTAAGAAGTTCAGAGAGGCTGTTGGTGATACAGACATGAAGGAGACATGGCTGAGCAGCTGGAGAAGATGGAAGAGACAGAGACCTAAAGTTTGAAAAAGTAAAACTGACGAGAGAAATTGATCAGTGAGTAGCTGTTCAGTTTTGTTTTAAAAGGTTATTATCTTTTAGTTTGCTTCTGTTAATGTTTAATTAACTTGTGAAAAGTGGTATGCCAGGGCAGTTCCATCCTGTGGAATGTACATCCTGTTCCATTTAGGAGTTAGATGTGCAGGAAGTGTTGGCTGCTCCATAGTCACACAAGCTCCAGGGTTTGGAACTCAAGCAACAAGTGGTGTCAGTGCAATGCATCCATGCGGTTGAGATCTATAGGGACAACATGCTTCTGGTTATGGCAACCCCATTGTTTAAGAGGCCACTGACAGAGAGAGAATTATCATGCAATAAGGGTGGATCACACAAGGAGTGCAAGAGTCTCCTGAGTGCATCTTGCTCCCCAGCCAAAGTTGAATTCTCATTACTGCTAAGAACAATGGCTCCTCTGGGGAGTACAAGCAGGTGCTTGCCTTTCCCTGGATTGCCAGCGCACTGTGGTGAAGAGGCTGAAGTGTTTTGTTGATCCTGAGACCTATGCCCATAGAGTTCTCAACTCCTGCAAGGCTACCCAAGAGGGTAAGCTTGAAGAGGAGGAACCAGACAAAGTGCAATCCAAAATGAGTCCTCAGTGGTGATCCAGGCAAAACATACTCATCTGACATTGACAACTGTGACAGTGAGTGAAGGCAGGGAGATCCCCAGTCACCAGCTACTGCTGGTGCTCAATCTACCTTCTGTCAAATTCTGTGTGTCTGCTGATATGCAACAGCATTCCCACATTAAAAGACATCACAAGGCGTCTATCCAGGGGAATTCAACCCTCCCTCATCCAAGATCTCAATGAACAAGAAGAGGAAAGCTCTCCATGCCTGGCAAAACATCATCAGCAAGGCAAGGATCATTAAACAGCAAAGGCAGCGTCACAATGAAGAATGAAGGAAATCAAACACCAATAGAGGACTGAGAAAACTAAGGAGCTACAATTCCTTGCTGACATGCACAACACCTGGGATGTCTTCAGTGCCACTAAGATAGGCAGGTCCAAATCCAAGTTACTGCAAGTGACTCCATTGTACAGGATGGCCAGGAAGAAGATTGGGAAAGCATTAATCACAGGAGATCCTATAATTCTGGGAAAAGATAGGCATTTGTTGAAGCTACAAATCTGGACTACGTGCATGCCAAACAGCACAAGCAGTAAGTGATAGACAGGGCTAGGCAATTCCACAACCAATGAATTCAGACCTAAGCTTCACAGACCTGCCATATCCAGCTGTGAATGGCAGATAATTAAACAACTCAATGGGGAAGGAGGGTCAACAAATATGACCATCTCAATGAAGAGGAAGTCCAGCACATCATGCAAAAGATACGACTGAAGCATTTGCAACAATTTTCAGCCATAGGTGCCAAATGGATGATCCAACAGTGTTGTACAGAGCCTTTTGCTAAATCCATCAGGAAGGATGTGAGCCTGAGAAGGGTGACTAATCCAGGCAGCAGAGGCCTGCAGATCAAAGCCTCCCTGTTCATGGATGATGTCACCATTTTCTGCTCGGATCTGCTGTCAGTGCACAGACTCATGAGAATCTTCGACCAATTCAAACCGGCCTTGGGAGCCAAGGCTAATCAAGGTAAGAGCGGGGCCATGTTATTTAGGAACTGGACCAACCGATCCTTTATCCCCTTCACCATCAGGACAGATTATCTCTACATGCTGGGAATATGGTTTGGAGGGGCTCGGGCATGCACAAAAATTTGGGTGGAGTGCATTGCCAAGGTGAGGCAGAAACTGGTCTTTTAGGAGAACCGCTCCTGCTTCATTGTGGGTAAAAACCTGGTCATCAGGTGTAAGGCACCTTCTCTGTTATTATTTGTGGCACAGCTCTGGCCCATTCCCCAAACCAGCACTGTTGCAGTCACCCAAGCCATCTTCCACTTCATGCAGTGGACCATGTCTGCAGGGACGCTATGTACAAAGCTCTGGACAAGGGCAGGAAGAATGTACCCAACACCACCCTCATCCTGATGGTCACCCTTGCATGTGGCTGCATCAAGCTGTGCGTAGACCCTTGGAATGCAAACACCAAGTGTCACTGTGTACTGAGGTTCTACCTGTCCCCGGAGTTGCAAAGGATGGGACAAGCCTTGTTGCTATGGTATGCTTCAAGTAGTTGGACCATACCGTATTACCTGTCCTACGTGGAGAAATTTGCAAGGAATAACTCCTTTGACCACAAGTCCGTAGGAAGTGGTCAGCACATAGCATCCTCGAGACCCTGCGGGAAAAGGAGAGGGTGGATCCTGTTGGTTTGCTCCCTGAGCAGACTGTCAAAGTCATTTGACAGGGTGCCTCATTACCAGAACTTTCCAACAAGCACCAAGACGTCATTTGGCTGGTGGTGAGTAGGGCACTACCTGTGAGATTCTTCATGTAGGCCTGGACTCTCCACACCTCCGCATGCTGTCCTCAAAGCAGCTGTGGGAGGTTAGAGACTGTTAGATATCTCCTGCTGAAATGTGCCTTTGCAAAGGAAGTCTGGAGAAAGATGCAGTGGTTTTTGTCAAGATATGTCCCAAGCAGGTCCGTGACGCAGGACTCTGTGCTCTATGGTCTGTTCCCCGGGATGCATACCAAGACAAACATTGACTGCGCCTGGAAGACCATCAAGTCACTGAAAGATACTCTTTGCTCTGCCTGAAACTTGTTGGTCTTCCAGAGCAAGGAGTTGGCTTCGATGGAGTGTTGCAGACTGGCACATTCCAAGGTCCAGGACTACGTGCTGAGGGGCGCACTAAAGCTTGGGGCAGTTGCTGCTAAGGCACAGTGGGGAAAGACCATCGTCTAAGGTCTTTCAACCAAAGTTAAATGGGTTCTGTACAGTTACTGGAGTCTCCCCATACCTCAAGAGCATGTAATTATAGTTTTGTATAAGTAAGAAATGCTTTGGGTTTGTTTGCTAGATACAGTCAACTCTAATGTTTGTTTTGTTTCTCCAAATGGTAGTGTACAGAACTGAATTGTTTATGTGATTATGAATGTATATTAAGTTATTTTTATAAATAAAGTATATTTTTGAAATCCCCAGCATATTTTTGAGATCCCCAGCATCACAGATGCCATACTTCAGTCAATTCCATTCTCCTCGATGTGGTATCAAGAAATAGCTGGAGGCATTGGATACTATGAAGGCATTGGGCCCTGACAATATTCTGGCAATAGTACTGAAGGTGTGTGCTCTAGATCTTGCCAAGCTGTTCCAGTACAGCTATAACATTAGCATCTACCCAACATGAAGGATTGCTCAGGTATGTCCTGTACACAAAAAGCAGGACAAATCCAACCCGACTAATTACCAGCCCATCAGCCTCAATCATTAGTACAGTGATGGATGGTGTCACCTGCCATAGCGGCATTACGTGGTCCATTAAATTCCTAGCCCAGTGACTAGTGTGTCTTGTCTTTAAAAGAATTACCCTTGAAGGACTCCATGTGTTCCAAGTATACAGTGTTGCAACTCTGTCTGGCTGTTAGTCGTGGGTCTTTACTTTTCCCTTTATTCGTTAACGGGATAAGGGCGTTGTTGGCTAGGCAGCATTTATTGCCTATCCCTAATTTCCCAGAGGGCAGTTCAGAGTCAACCACCTTGCTGTGGGTCTGGAATCACATGTAGGCTAGACCAGGTAAGGATGGCAGTTTCCTTCCCTAAAGGACATTAGTGAGCCAGATGGGTTTTTCCAACAATCGACAATGAATTCATGGTCATCATTAGATCTTTAATTCCAGATATTTCTTTCTTGAATTCAAATTCCACCATCTGCCGTGGCGTGTTTCAAACCTGGGTCCCCAGAATGTTATCTGGGTCTCTGGATTAACAGTCCAGCAATAATACCACTAGGCCATCGCCTCCCCATAGCCTGCAAGTTGTACACATAGAAAATGTCTGCTGTAATTTCTACTTCATAACTAGTTACATGTTTTACTGTTCTATATTAACTAACCCACAGAATTATTACCTTCTAGAAGGACAAGGGCAGCAGATACTTGGGAACACCACCACCTGCAAGTTCCCCTCCAAGCTATTTACCATTCTGACTTGGAAACAAATTATCCTTCCTTCACTCTCACTAAGTCAAAATCCTGAAACTCCCTCCCTGGTGCCTCCCAGCGTCTACCTACAGCAAATGGACTGCTGAGGCTGAAAGAGGCAGCTCACCACCACCTTCTCAAGGGGCAACTAGAGATGGACAATAAATGCTAGCCCAGCCAGCAGTGTCCACATCCCATGGACGAATAGATAAAAGGAAGAATAGTGTTTTAAGTACCAAACTAAATGAAAAAATAAAAGGTAAGTAATAAATCAGGAGAGTAGTATAAGTAACGTATGGAGAAAACAACAGAAGAACAGATTAGGGAACAGGTTATGGTCCAAAAAAGTTACCAATGATATGCAAGAGAGCAGGATAGTGGAATTAATTAGATTGCTCTTTGAAGAAGTCACCATATACTTAATGGGCCAAATGGCCTACTTCTATGCTGAGAACCACTGCCTGCCCTTGCTGCTGACATCCTTGCCCTCTTCTCCCCAGACTGCCATCCTGCAAATCCACAACCTGCATGTGACTTCCCTTTGGCTGGGGTTGCTCTGTGATCCCGGGAATCATAGCCTGTCCTTAACAGCCTCCCAAGTGGCACTGCTGAGTTTGACATCCACCAGCCTCTGTTGGATGTCCACTGTTGGATGGGTTGTTCTGCTGGCAAGCAAGACCCTCAACAAGGTTCTGCCACTGATTCTGTAAATAAGCTAAGGTCTGTGTCCCTGCTATTTTCTGGTTGGGTTGCAAGGGTATTTTCAAGTTACTTTGAGATACTTTGAGTTACTATGAGATATTTAGCGTCTCATTAAAAGCACTATATTAGAGCACTGTCTCAGAATATAATGTGGACCACTGTCATTAAAGCAGGACTGACACCATGGCTTTTGCTGATTGCATTGGCTTCTGCATTTTATGGGTATTTTGTGAATTTG